ACGGCCCCGACCACTGCCGCTCGACCTGACTGGAAAAAACCGTAGCAGGAAGCTAGCAAAGTCGTAGTATATATCATTCTTTTATTATGTAAGTATTGGATTTTTTTTTTTTTTTTATGTACTAATTCTTTGATTTATATTCTTCAATATCTTCATTGATAGAGCTTAATTCCTATCATTTTTACTTAAGTAAAAATGATAGGAATTAAGCTCTATCAATGAAAATATTGAAGAATACAAATCAAAGAATTAGTATATGCCTCCCTGTATTTTCCTGCTGTTCCTCCTCCTCCTCCCCCTCGTTCCTGGAGTTCTCGTCCTTCTTCCTCCATTCTTTCTCCCACCCCTTGTACTACAACCTTCTCCATACTTGGTTACAGGACAACCTTTTGATCTTGACAGCATCTGCTCTTCTCCTCGTCCTTCAGTATTCATTCTCTCTTTCTTGTGTTTGTCCACGTATTATTGTCGTTCTGTCCCATTTTCAAGTATTTTATGCATATTTTATGTATAAATTTAGTGTCTTCTCCCGCCTTACATGTTCAACCTACGATCCTCTATCTGCGATGCTTCCCCGCGTCCTCTATCCACGATGCTTCCCTGCGTCCTCTATCTGCGATGCTTCCCCACGTCCTCCCCGCCCCCGCCCCCCCCCACCTCCTCTTCCTTGCCGAGCATGCTTAGCAAGTAATAGCAGCATAGGCTGCTTGATCCTCGCCGTCCTTGTCCTCCTCGTGTAGCAAGTAATAGCAGCATAGGCTGCTTGATCCTCGCCGTCCTTGTCCTCCTCGTGTTCCTCTTCCACTTCCTCGTCGTCACCCTCCCTGTCCTCGTCCTCGTCCTTCTCCCCCTCCCCTTCCTCGCCCTTCTCACCCTTCCTCTTCCTCGTCCTTCTCCCCCTCCGTCGCCCTCTCTCCCTCCCTCTCTCTCTCTCTCTCTCTCCTCTCTCTCTCGCTCGCTCTCACTCCCTCTCTCTCACAATGTATGGAGGGGGAAGAAAAAGGAAAAAAACGAACACAGATCACTCTCTCTCTGTCTCTCTCTCCCTCTCTCTCTCTCTCAATGTATGGGGGGTGAAGAAAAAAGAAAACAACGAAAACAGATCTCTCTCTCTCTCTCTCTCTCTCTCTCTCAATGTATCGAGGCGGAAGAAAGATAAAAAAAAAAAAAAACAGATCTCTCTCTCTCTCTCTCTCTCTCTCTCTCTCTCTCTCTCTCTCAATGTATGGAGGGGGAAGAAAGAAAAAGAAAAAGAAAAAAGATCTCTCTTTGGAGAGAGAGGAGAGAGAGAGGTAACGACATGT